TTGTATATTTGTTCAATTGTTTTTATACTTAGACTATCTAGAATAGATTAACATGATTGTAGAAAATCTCTTGTATAAAGCTACGTCTCCTGATTCAATAAAATTATTAAAAAGACAAATATTATTTTCATTCTTTACAACCCGACCCGACACGATTAATAAAGAAATTAGGTATGAGTGAAGTCAATTAAAAAAATACACAATATAACTCGTTTATATCTCAATTATACACGATACAAATCAGATATAATACGACTAATTAGATATAAATTAATAAATAAATTAAATAAAAATAAAATATCTTTTGACACGAACTTGTTAGAATCGAACATAAATTCGTTTCGCTCAACACAATAGACAAACGTAGTACTAGGGCTAAAGTCTAAATAAAGCACAAGTTGAAAAGAAGAAGAGGGAACTCGAGATATAAAAAAAGGGGACAAACAAACAATAGTAAATACGACTCTGAAAAGAGAGGACAAAAAAATCGAAATCAATCTCTGTCAAATGGATCTGCGTGTGGGGTTGCAGTTGCACAACCAGACATTTATAATTACTCCAAATGCCTTGACTCATTAATGTAAATAAATCATGGAATACAGGTAGGTCTGCAATCTGCATGAAGAGTAGGTAGTTTTGCAGCGTATAACAAAACAAGCCACAGCACAATGCTAAAATTGGAATTTGGAGCTTTGAAATATAAGAAAGTCTACTGTATTCAAATAAAAAGTTTGGTATCGTATCAAAAATTATTATTTTTAAAGATATTTTTATGTTTACCAAAATTTACATCAAATCTATTATAGTAATTGAATCAATGATGAGACTCATTAATTCAACGATCGTAAATGATTAGATATAAATTTTAGTACACATAATATTACTACATCTTTAATAGTACGTTGAAAAGTAAAACTACAAGTGAATGAAAGAAGTTTACAATCGATCATTAATACCATGACGAATCATAGAATTTCTTTGAGCAATTGTAATTTTTTTTTTTATAGGTTATAATTCAACTTTTTTAAAAATTATAATTTTCATGATAGATTGTAATGTTTTAAGATTGATCATTTATATAATAAATTAGTTTACAATTTAAATATCAAAAGATAATCAAAATAATTTTTACTATTCACAGATGAGATCGTTTTAAATTTTACTTTAAAATTAATTTAACGACTAATATTAACACCATAAATTTAATAAGAAAAATAGGCTTCTAAAGATGTGTTTGGAATGATTTTTTAAAAGTACTTTTAGAAATTATTTTTCATTAAATACTTTTAAAAAAATAATGTTTGAAATTCCCCCACCACCGTCATCGCCACCACCACCAACATCACCACTGTCGCCGCCGTTACCACCATCGACACTGCAGCCACCACGATCACCATCATCACCACCACTATCGTTGTCGCTGTCGCTGTCACCATCACTGCCCCTGCCACCACCGTCGTCGTCACCATCACCACCGCTTCCACCACCACCACCGCCACTACCACAACCTCCACCATCGCCACACCCACGCCCACCACCACTGTCACCACCTTCGTCGTCACCACCGTCGCCACCACCACCACTGCCCCCCGCCCCTACCACCGCTACCACCACCACCACTGCCCCCCGCCCCTACCACCGCTACCACCACCACCACCACCCCTATCACCCCCGCCACCGTTGCCGTCGCTGTCACCACCACCACCGTCGTCGTTGCCCTCGCCCCCACCACGGTTATTGCTACACATCACAACCATCATCGTCTCCTACCACTCCCACTATCGCCCACCACCTCTCACTCCCACGGTAAATCGATGTTTAAATTTATTTATCTATTCTCTATATTTGTGATTTAATTTTAAATATAAATACAAAAATGTTTATTATTTTTTATTATTTTTATTTGTGTCTCATAATTTATAACTTAAAAAAATAATAAGATTATCTTAAAAAATTATAATTTTTAGTGTGAAATTAATGTAGATAATTCATGGGTACCATAACTTTTCCCTGAAATATACAAGCAGTCTGTCTGTCTGACCCAGTCCTTCACAGGCTGGCGAGTACGTGTTTGAATTCAAACATTGTGTCATTTAATAGTTTGATGGTTTGAGGCTTAATCTTACTTAAACAATTCCAAATGACTTTCCAAATGAGTAAATTATATAAATAATCCTTAAATTATGATATTTATGTTAATTGAGAATTTGAACTAATTTTTGTGTCAATTGAGTCCTTAAACTCTAAAATTTTAACAATTAAGTCCCTGAACTAATTTTATTGTCAATTAAACCCTAAATTCTAAAATTTTAGTAATTGAGCCCTTATGTCAATAACCGTTAGATTTTTAGACGATCAACAAGCTCTCCGCTCTAGTGTAGAAAATAAATTACATAAATGTAGACACTTCAAAAAGTTTGTTGGTTTGCTCATTTGATGGATATGAAAAAGGTTTAGGTTTAAGGTTTCAATTGATGGGTGTAAGAAATAAGGTTATTCGTTTGATAGGTTTCGAATTAATAGTCTAAAATATCCCTAATTTGTTGTCCATGTGATGAGCACATGAGAGATTCCGTCAAAAAATTTAATGGTTGCTAATATTATTAGAGTTTAGGAGTTTAATTAATAAAAAAAATTAGTTCAAGAACTTAATTAACACTAGAGTCATAGTTTAAAGGTGATTTGTATAATTTATTCTATATACAACAGTTGGACTCTTGCTCCGTGGCAATTCAATTTGGTTTCATTTAGAAAAAAACTAAGGATAATTCGTTTTTGAAGACACTGAAGTGAAGATTCCAGAGAAAGAGAGAATGAAAAGTGAAGAGAGGAAGATAAAATTTAATGTAAATAATTTTGAGAGTGATGTTGATAACCGCTGGATGAATCTATTTGAGATGGTTAGATAAACTTATTAAAATTTGTCATGTTTTATATTATAAACTAGAGGTAATCTATGTCTGAAGGCACGGTAAAAATTTAAGAGAGATATTGGTAGGCGTCGGATGAATCTATTTGAAACCGTTAAATGAACTTATTAAAGGCTGTCATATTTTATATCAATTTGAGAGTACGTTTGGGAAGCTTCCTACCCTTTGCACCACATGTTTCTGCGTGGAATTCAAATCCCCTAGTTTACTTCAAAGGAAACGCTAGTTTCACTATTTTTATTTATTTTTTCTTTCCACAGAATTAATGTCGATGGATCAGATTATAATTCAAATATGAATCCATTTAAGCAGAGATGATTTGATTTTTTACCAATTATCCTAATGGAATTCAGATTTGATATTGTATTATTTATCTTTAATGCAAATTCTCGGAACAAATTTTTGAATTTTATCGGATGCGGGATTAATTCTCTTCCATTTCTTTTAAACATCCTACTATATATGTATGCACCACCATCACCAAGTTAATTAACGAATCGGACATTTGTTTTTTACAAGATATTCAAGTTTATGTCGACTACTTCATAAAGACATTTATTGGTCAATGTCTATCCTGTATATGTGATCGCAACTATCAAATCAGACTAAACCAACCCCAATTCTGGTGTGCTTAATGTATTTTACCCCAAACTTAGGCAGGGTTTTAGACAATGTGAATTGCACTGAACCTCTTTATTTAAAATTCTAATAAACATATATATATATATATATATATAGAATTTTATATTGCAAAGTCTGGTGCAACTTTAGTGGAATGGAACCAGACACCTCAATTTTTTCGCAAGAGTTGAAAGTTTATACTACACTTTGTATTCAATGGATCTGTTTCGAATTGACTTAAAATTTCAATTTTTTTTTTTGTTTCAGAGGAAAGGAAGCCTTGTCCAATTGGACTCAGACTTATTGGAAAAAACTGAAAAATGAGACTTATTTGAAGATTTTCAAGAAAAAATCGATTTTTTCATTTAATTTTTTAAATTTGAACATTTATTTTCACGTACATTAATTGTGTATGGAAGACCATGACACTTCGAAAATAGATATCATTCATATATATATAAATGCTCCAAGCCTTGGGAGTAGAGTCATATTTGAATTGGTAATGAAGGATCACAACGACCCTTGTGGTGCATGGGAACCCCTTAACAATTTTGTGAGAAGTCAAGCACCGACAATATACATACCAGTGCATTGCATTTGCAAGTCAATCGATCTGATACGAAATCGAAACAAAGTTTAAGGTGTATAGATTTAGTCATTTAGACATAACAATTCAGGAAATAATAATTATAAATAAATTCAGGGTTCAGACCCATCTAATAATCGGTGGTGGGTCAACTAGTATTTTACTAAATCAGATATGAAATCGTCTATACATAATTATAAATAAATTTGATATAATTTTTATAGGTTTAAACATACCACGGTTTGCAAGTACGATAATTATAAAGAAAAGACATTTCACCAAACATTTGACAGCTCTAAGGATTCATCGTTTGAGTACATTCTAGTCATTTAGTTCATAAAAAAAAGATAAAAGGCAAGCAACTTGCCTCCTCTGCCCATGGGAATAATTGGCCAAAGAATGCATAAAATAGGAGTTCGAGATCTACGCGCTTTGCAGAAAGCCATGCAAGCTTTGACTTTCCAGGATTACAAAACACTTCAAGATTCTCCAATCTAACAAGAATAAAAGTTACTCTGTTAAGCTTTTCTTATGCTATACATATATATATTTTCTAAATGATGCTGAGGTTTATACTGACTATTCTCTCAAATTTTGAATCGACTATCATAACTTGAGTTAAGGGAATTTGTGTCGATTATTTCCTAGTTTGGTCGATTAACTCAGACTAGTTTAAAAACATATCTATTGAGGAACAAGAATAACTAATTCTTAAAGAGTATGAAAAATATCAAATAAGAAGGCAAACTTGACTACTAGATCACCGACCAATAAGGGTGGCTATATATCTATATATATAGATGAAACCTAACCCCCAGATACATACTCATTATTTTCACCTTTGATCATCACTTCTCAACACCATGGCTTCTAAGCTATCCTGCTCTTCTTTCACAAAATTTCTCATTCTTATTGGACTTTCAGCCTTGTTTTCTCTCTCCTTAGCTGATGTTGTTCCTCCTCCAAGTCCAACCACCCCGGTCTCAACCTCCACCATTTGCAAGTCCACCCCTTATTACTCTTTTTGCAAATCAGTGCTCCCAAACAACAATTCCTCCGCCAATGTCCGCGATTATGGCCAGTTTTCCATCAGAAAATCCTTATCATCTGCTCGTAAATTTCTCTCATTAATCGAAAAATATCTTCGCCACTCTTCCAACTTGACAATCACAGCAATCCGTGCTCTTGAAGATTGTCGATTGCTAGCAGAACTCAACATGGATTTTCTTCAAAGTTCTTGCAAAACTGTCAACTCTACCACCACAAACCTCCCCACATTTGACACTGACAATGTTCAAACTCTGCTCAGTGCCATTTTAACTAACACACAAACCTGTTTAGATGGCGTTCAAGTTACAGCTTCCGCTTGGAGTTTACAGAATGGTCTCTACGCCCCTCTTTCGAATGACACAAAGCTGTATAGTGTTTCTTTGGCCCTGTTTACAAAGGGTTGGGTTCCTAAGAAGAAAAAGCTACCTTCTCACCCTACACAGAAACAGCTAGCCTTCAGAAATGGCCGATTGCCATTGAAAATGTCTGGCAGGAACCAAGCTATTTACGAGACTGTTAGTAGAAGAAAGCTTCTTCAAACTAATGAGGATCAGATTTTGGTGAGCGATATAGTGATCGTGAGCCAAAAAGGTTGGGGGAATTTCACCACCGTCAATGATGCTGTGGCTGCAGCTCCTAACAACACCAATGGCACCAATGGCTACTTTTTGATATATATCACTGCTGGTCTTTATCAAGAATATGTTTCCATTAACAAGAACAAGAAATATTTGATGATGATTGGTGATGGAATCAATCGGACAGTGATCACCGGCGACCATAATTTCGTTGATGGGTGGACAACCTTCAATTCTTCAACATTTGGTAAGTAAAAACTTCCATAAATTGAACCCCAAAACAAAGTATTAAGTCTCATTGATTTGTTGCCCGAGTTTTTATCAGTATCTTAGCACAGATTTACTGGATACGGGACACTTTCTAGTTTCCGAATGACCTAGATTCTAATCCCGCAAAAATTCATAGGAAAGAAGTACTTTTACTTTTATGAAGTGAAATGAAAGTCAATAACAAACTAGCTAAAAAGAAATCCCAAAAGAAAGCCTTATTTCGCTAGTTTTGACAGGTTTTTTCTTACTCCATCTTATAAGTTTCATGTCAACATTGCAGCTGTGGTTGGACAAGGTTTTGTTGCCGTGAACATAACTTTTCGAAACACGGCTGGGGCAATCAAGCATCAGGCGGTTGCAGTACGAAACGGGGCTGACTTATCCACATTCTACAGTTGCAGCTTTGAAGGGTACCAAGACACACTCTACACCCATTCTCTCAGGCAATTCTACAGAGAATGTGACATCTACGGCACTGTTGACTTCATATTTGGCAATGCTGCTGCTGTTTTTCAAAACTGTAACATGTATCCGAGGCTGCCATTGAGCAATCAGTTCAATGCCATCACTGCACAAGGTAGAACTGACCCGAATCAGAACACTGGAACTTCAATTCAGAACTGTACTATTACAGCAGCAGATGATTTGGCTACAAGCAATATCACTATCCAGACTTATCTGGGAAGGCCATGGAAGGAGTATTCTAGGACTGTTTATATGCAATCTTTCATGGATAGTCTTATCAATCCATTGGGTTGGCATGAATGGTCTGGAGATTTCGCGCTAAATACATCATATTACGCAGAGTTTAACAACACGGGGCCTGGATCGAACACCTCTGGTAGAGTGACATGGCCTGCTTTCTACATTATTAATTCCATGAACGCTACAAATTTCACTGTATCTAGCTTTCTACTGGGGGATGCTTGGTTACCTCAGACTGGAGTGCCATATACACCAGGCTTGATATGAGCAAAACGTTTCACTTAGCTCTCTGTTCTTTGATTTATAATGATTGTTTTGCAAAGCAATAAGCTAGCATAAGTAAACTCAAGCATTCTCAACGGACTGTTTGGGATCTCAGTGAATCACTTTTAATAATAATGTGTTTTCAGATCCATCTTCATATTCTACTGATTAGGCCAGGAAATGGACGAAATTCTTCACTTCATTGACCCTGAATGAGCAACTTTGACTGATCCAGAAGATTTTGGTCAATTATAGAATTGCTAAAAGCACATCCGGTGGATTACGAGGAATTAACATCATTATTAGGCTTAGAGTGAGCAATGCTGTAGCATTTTCCCAGAGTAAACTTACACATATCATCCCCAAACTATGATCCTTATTTCAAATAAATCCCTCAATTTTTTTTTGTGTCAATTGAGCCCTAGAACTCTCTATTTGTGTCACTTGAGCCATTTTGTTTGTCTTTGTTACATTTTCTAATAGAAAGTTATGAATTGTGCCAATCACATGACACAAATGAATTCACATATGACTCTTAAACTATGACATTTGTGTTAATTAATCTTTTAAAATCTTTTTTTTGTATGTCAATTAAGCCCCTGAATTCTCTAATTATGATAATTGAGTCATTCTGTCTTTTTAAACTATATGGTCACGCGAGTGACAAACTTTAACGCATATAGACAAAAGAGTTTAATTGACACAATTTAAGAGTTTAGGGGTTCAATTGACAAAAAAAAATTAAAAATTAAATTGACACAAGAGTCATAGTTTAAGGGTCTTATGTATAATATACTAATTTTCCTATTAGGCTAGACTTTCTGCGAGGGATCAAAATTTTGCTTAAATTGGTGAATTGTTTCTGTTAGTTCGGAAATAAAAACGTTATGAAAACTCATTATTTATTAAAAAAAAATTTGAAATATGGAAATTTTGATTTTACATCCCTATTTTCCTTTCGTTTTTCGCTGCAACCAAAATGTTCAGGTGGAACATGAAATGAAAATTGATTCCTTGGACAACAAATGTTTCAACGTAGGTACAACACTTCAAGACGACAACCGACCCACTAACTCTGAAAAGTCGACAGATTACTACAGATTTTAACTCCCCAATACGAGTACGAGCTATAAAAGAGGGCGGAGAAGATAACGCGAAGACATTAGAATGGAGTGATTGTAGCTTAGTTATTAGCCAAAACATGGACGACACTCAAAGCAGTGTTGCACAACTGGCGAAGAATCCGATTCTTGTGAGACACCTCCAGAGCACTTCCGGTCTTGTTCGTCACACTAGCCTCGCATGTATCAATATTAGCAACGGCGGCTTTCACCCATTTATCAACGTCAGGATAGGCATTGGAAACCAAAGCATTAATCGAATCATCGATCAGGTCAGCCGTCGATAGATACACGTCGTTGCAGTCAGTGAGGGCTTGTTCCACGATGGGGTCTAACTCGTCCGTGTTCGAAAGAGATTGCTTGATGAAGACAGACGTGTCTGTGACGTTTGTGGATGTGTACCTGAGTGCATTGAAGGCAAGGCCTTTCAGGTCTGCTGTTTGGCTGTTTGGGTCTGCATTGAGGACATTGAGGCAGAACTCTTGGTGGGCGGAACGCTCGCAGGCCTTTGTTATGAGAGTGGAACCGAAGTTTTGTCGGGCAACAATGAGGTGGGGATGGAGGGTGAGGCAGAGGGTGAGATGCAACAGAACAAAGAAGCTCGACATGGCCTTCATTCTTCTTCTTTTCTTTTCTTTGAATGAAACGTTTGTTGTTTGTGATTTAAAATGAAGAGGGTGAGGCTTGGGATTGGGAAGTTTTATTTGGGTGTGGGGAATGTTTAAAGATAGAATGGTTGATTAATAGTTTGTTTTTAAAGATGGTTGAGTAAGCATTGGAGAATATGACCATTCATTTGTGAATGAACTTCGCTTGGCCACCCAATGATTTGGCTATTTATAATGGCAATTTTGAGAAAATCAACATACGAACAACATGTTTAAACTTATCTTTAGTGAATTTGGATAATAAACCGAAGATCTGTTAAAATTGGTCCACTCGAACATAACTAACCACAAATCACCATATGAACCTAACTATACATAATTATAAATACAACAAATATGAGTTGATCAAATTTTGATATGACTTTTGTGTTAATTAACTTCTTGAAATTTTCTTTTGTTAATTGAATCATTGAATTCTCTAAGACTATAGAGACTCAAACACTTACTCAAATTTGAAGAAAAAAAATGGTAAAAAACTTGATTTGGTATAGACTTCTTCAATGGAAAAACTCAAATTTAAAGAAAAATATATTTTTTTTAAATGAGGACAAATTTAAAAGAAGATAAATATGACTATTGGATCTTTAAAGGTAGGTGTAATCTCGTCATTTGTGAAAAATATAAGTATTTGAGTCTCTCTTAATTTGAATTTAAAAAATAATTTCTCTTTATTTAGTATGGGTATGAGTCTAACATTGAAGAAAATTTTTTAGAGTTTTGTGTGTGCCTCCATTAGAGTGTATCACTCATGTGATCATATGACACAAAAAGACAGAAGAGCTCAATTCAAAAAGACAGAATGATTTAATTGAGACAATTAGAGAGTTAAGAGGTTCAACTGACACACACAAAAGAGTTTAGAGGCTTAATTGATATGAAAGTCAGGAAGGTCATTTGTTTAGTTTACTCTAACTTATTTATGTCACGTCAGTGACACACATAACCACTTTTGTTAGAAAATCTAACCAAGGCAAAGAGAATGGATCAATTGACACAATTAGAGAATTTATGAGGCTCAATTAACAAAAAAAAATTCAATGAGCTTAATTGATACAAGGATCATAATTTGAAAACTATATGCATAATTTACTCTTAAATAAACAACAAATTAAAAAGAAAAAGTTGGAGCCCGGTTTCCCTTTGTTGACTTATTTGGTGATAAATCAATCAAGAAAACTTATTTAATATTAAATTCATTTTGATCTTCATTATCTAAAATATCTTTGGTAGTCATATTTCATTAATACAAATTTGAAAACTAATAACTCTTAAATTTTAAGAGTTTGATTAACATTAAAGTTTTGTCTCTCTTATATCTATGTATATTCATATATAGAATATGGCTATTTATTTTTCTGTCTAATATATATAGTAATATAAAACACAAAAAATAGTATTATTTAAACACAAAAAAATATTAACATTAAAAAATGAAAAATAATAACATTGAGTATTAATATTTAAAAAAATAACAGTAATAACATAGTGAACAAAAAAAAGTAACATTCAGAATAATATTCAATATTAACAATAATATGCTCATAAAAAAAATATTAATATGCTCACAAAAAATAGCAACATGAAAAAAAATTAGTAACATACACAAAAAAAAAATATTAACATGGAAAATTAAATAAAATTAGGGGTCAAATTAATAAATCCGATATTCATTTACAAATAAAGAGGTACCAATTTTGATTGATTTGGAGACTTTTAGCTACTTTGTGTTCAATTTGATTCTTAATAGTGTGTGAATGTTCGTCTCATGATTCAGACTATTCATCAAAATTGGTGGGTCAACGACGAAGTCCATGAAAAACTAGAGAGATTGAAGAATAATCTGACAGGGATAGTGGGCATGATTTGAAATGTTTGTTGGTTGAATTCAAAGAGTATTTGGCAGAAAAGAAAAAAAGAAAATCTACTCATGTTCTAGGGTAGGATGATCTTCCAGATCGGCCACTGAGTTTTCTTTGTAGGCCATTCACTTGAGTCATGCGGTATGGTGGCCTTGTTGCTCAGATTGAAGGGATTTGAGCATTATCGTTGTGACCGTAATATTTCCATGGCAATGAATTTAACGGTTTTGAAGTTAAGTTTTGTAGATTTATAAAGGGACAACAAATCTGACTTTCTTGGTGGAGAGAGAGAGAATAGTATAACCGAGTCCTATTCGAATTTGAATTTTAAATTTATGAAGAAAAAAAATTTATTGGCGTTAACATTAAATTAAGGGATAACAATTTCCCAGTTAAGAAATTAATTTAAGTTTTTTTCAAAGAACGGTATTTTGAAATTTTGAAAAAATGATGGATTACTTATTAATAAGATAAAAAATAAATTTATTCTCAAATAAATTTTCTTGATAAACTAAAGTTATTAAAAATCTCTTAATGGAGATTCGGTCCCAATTTTCACAATTAAAGAATATGGAGCCATTAAGACCGATCCGATGGACAAAAGACCATTGGGTTATATTTTTTGGCTAAAGTTGGCATGCCGGTTGACTAACTTCATCAGTTTTGTGTAGTTTTCCGACTAGGACTCAAGTCTTATTGATTCAAGAGTCATCAGATAAACGACTGTAAATTCCAGTGACCAAGTTGGCACAATCGGTGTCCATCTAATGTTTTCAAGTTGGATTAACATGGTTACTGATGATGCACAAAAATGATTTTGCACATCACCTGTCAAGTGTAGATAATAAATGCAGTGAAATCGATGAATGAATTAAAGAAGACACAATTTATAGTGGTTCGATCAATTCGATCTACGTCCACTCTTCAATGGCTTCAGTTGCCGGGTATTTTATTAATTCAGAGGTATGGAGAATAGAGATACAAGCTTTGAGAGAATGGAGAATCAAAGAAAGTAGTCTCCGGTCGTCGATCTATCCTCTGTAAGTGTTGGTGGGACGTGACCTTCATCTCTCTCTTCTACCAGATTGGAGCTACTTTATAGCAGCTAAGAGATCATTCTTGTGGAGATCATGACTTATCCTCAAGGCTTCTTTATCGCAGCTAAGAGATTATTCTGGTGGAGATCACGACTTATCCTCAAGGCTTCTTTCTCGCAGCTAAGAAATTATTCTGGTGGAGATCACGACTTATCCTCAACGGAAGGAAGAGGTTGGGGAGCTCTTCATGAAACGTGGTCAAAGATTGGACCGTTTCCTTCGGTGGTGCAGATAAGCTTCCCATGCTCTCCTCTTGGTGACGTGCTAAGCAAAAAGTCTAACCGGTCTTGGACTGTCATGGGCTTGGTGGAATCAAAATGAGGTTGGGCTCCTCAACTAGGGTTGGACTTTAATACATAAATTGGACTATTTGGGCTTAACCCATCATTTGCCCCCCAATGTCCCATGTCCAAGGAGACTTGGAGAAGGAGGCATTGACTATATTTTTTTTTTTTGTTTAAACTTCAAGTCTTTCCCACTTTATTTTAAAGAAGGCCCATAATATTTTGTTTGGCCTTTTTATTTTGAAAAGGACACATAAATTTCTATTTAGCCACTTTATTTTGAAAACGGCCCATAATTTTCTATTTGGATTTTTTCCCTCTTTTTGAAAAACCCTAGACTATAAATATAGTCTTCTTCTTCATGTTACACATTTCACTCATTTTTAAGGTTGAGCACCCACCTCTTGAAAACCTTGAAAACTCAAGTCCTACCCATTTTGTTGAAGTCAAAGTGTGTTCTCCTTGAATCCTTTCAAGAGTGTGATTTCTTCCTTGCTAGTTGAGCTTTTCAAGTGAACAATGTCGATTGAAGAGGGAGTGGTGGAGGTTGAAGAAAGGGAGCAAGTAGGCACCATTTTGGAGAATTTGGAGGCTAGTTTTGAGCATTCGAATGCTGTCTTGGACAACTTTGGGGCTGAAAATGAAGGGCTGGACAGCGAAGGGGAGATGGGCAGCGCGAGGAGTGGCTTGGGCAGCGAAGGGAAACGACTGGGCGCACGATTGGGCAGCGCAGGCGCGCTGGGCGCGCGACTGAGCAGCGCAGGCGCGCGGTGAGGGGCTGGGCGGCTGCCTGGGCTCTGCTCCTCCTGTCCTGGACAGCCCAGGTGCGCTGGGCAGCAACCTAGCTGCTGCTTCTGCTGTCCCGGACAGCTTCAGATCTGCTGCGCTGGGCGTCTTTGGAACGCTGGACAGCAGTATTTTTCCATTAAGGGGCGCTGAAAATCAGTCCAAGATTCATCAGGGAGAGCTAGGCAGTGGCCTAGGAGCACGGGCTGATCCGATTCCCACTCAAGGCGCTGATTTGGGCGCCTTAGGTGCTGATTTTTGCGCCGAAAATTCTGCGTTGCGCAATTTTGAAGGGTCAGGCACCCTTCAAGCTACTGGGCAACTTTGTTTTGACGAGCAACAGCAGTCAGGCACACTTCCAGGCGTTGGGCTAGACATTGCAAGTAGTAAGAAAGCTTTGGGTGCTGCCCTTGATGATCAAGCCCCTATTGTAGCTCCCCCGATTCAAGTTCCTCAAGACTCTCCCAATGGTGATTTGGACTACTCCTTAAGGCCCCGGAAGAAGAAACGCAAGAGCAAAGTGGGACTTGATGATGACGGGTCTAAGGTGAGCACCCTTTCTAGTTTGTTCCGCTTAAATGAAGATATTTCAAGGCTTGTTTTTACTTATCGCATCCTTCCGACCGTGTTGTGCCTTCGGGCTGCTTTGGGTGAGTTTGTTTGCGATGACTCTTCTGGGGATATTGTTGTCTACGAGGAGATGCTTGAGGCTGGGTTAAGATTTCCCATGTCCTCCCCCATTTGTCGTGTTTTGCATTACTTTTTCTTGACTCCGGGGCGACTAGCACCCAACGGTTGGAGAGTCCTGCTCGATTTTCTTGCATTATGGAGAAAGGTGCACCACGAGGATGCTTCCCCTATGGAGTTTCATGCAGCATATAATTTTGAGTCCGAGCTTTTGGCGGCCCGCGAGAGGGACGCGC